GCAGGGCTCACGTCCGCTTCTCAGCACTGCGAGAATCACACGCTCTCACAGAGCAACAGTCTCAGACCGTCAGCATCATTCAGCTGTGCTCTTCCACCGAGGCCAACTCCCCGACTGCCTTTGCCTTCAAGGACGCTACTGGGATGCAGAGAGCGCCGTCTGCCTGGCGTGCCCCGCCGGGTCTTCGACGTTGCAGGCGGGTCGTCCGCTGCTCGTAGCTGCGTAGGCAGCTGCTTCAGGTTTCTTCTTTGTTTTCTCTTCCTTGTCTTGTCGGCTTCACGGCATACCCGCTCAATGACTGGAGGAGGGAGCCACCGGCCTTGGGTCCTGCACCTGCATCCCCGGCTTCTTCAACACGCAGCCTGACAACCCGGCAGTTTGTGAATCCTGCGGCGTGGGCTTCTTCTGCACTGGGGGCCTGCAGACCCGCCAGCCTTGTGCCTCATCCCAAACCACCGCGAGCGACACTTCAGCCGACGAGTCTTCTTGCGTTTGCAGAGCCGGCAGCTTCTTGGAAGACGGGCTTTGCACTCCATGTCCCGTTGGATTTTTCAAGGGCAGCGTTGGAGACTTCCGGTGCTCGCCGTGCGGCAGTGGCACCTTCAGTAACGGCACTGGCAACACAGAGCGTTGCAGATGCCTTCCAGGCTATGGCTTGGACGAGGAGATAAACAAGTGCACCGAATGCGCTCCGGGCGAATACAAAGCGCTGGTGGGAGACACCCCCTGCAGCAGGTGTTCCAGCAACAAGACCTCGGCGGAGGGCGCCACATCTCCCCTTGATTGTCGATGCCGCTCAGGTCTGGCAGAAGAGGGCCAAGCCTGCCGAGTTTGCAGAGCAGGCTTCTTTTGCCCGGGCCAGGGTGAAGAGATACGGTGCCCAGAGAATGCCACCTCACGCGCTGGCTCCCTCCAACAAGCAGACTGCTTGTGCAACCCGGGGTACTATGCCCTTGAAGCTCGGGCCATCTGTGAGCCTTGCCAACCTGGACGCTACAAGCCCACGCTGGCTAACGATCCAACGTGCCCATTACAGTGCCCCACAAATGGCGAGAGTGCCAATGCGTCCACCGATTTGAGAGACTGTTTCTGCGTGGCGGGATTCTATGCAGTTCTGGATGGAGCAGGATGGTTAGCCAGGTGCGCCAGTTGTGCCTTCCTTCCTCATCTGCAGTGCTTGGGTGGTTTTCACACTCAGGCGGGCATCACTCAGACTGGCAACCACACGCTGCCTGTCGCTCGGCCGGGGCACTTCCAGACAGGACAGACCATCACCGTGAAGTGCACCGCGGTCACGGCCACTGGCCTAAGCACTTGCCTCGGAGGGCAGCCGTGCGAACAAGATGACGCAGTGGACTGCTTCGGTAGGTATGGCAATGCCTGCGACGAAGGCTCCACTGGCTTCTTATGTGGCGAGTGCCCATACGGCTGGGCCAGGAGTGCCTTCCAGCGGCCCTGCGAACCGTGTGCTACCAGTTCTGCTATGCCACTGATTGCCGCAGTTATCATCGATGTTGGGACGAAGGCGGCGCGTTCGTTCACCAAGTTGCCGCAGGTTAAATCCGCAACGCCTGAAAGATGGAGCTAGCCTAGAAGTGGTGCCAGAGCACTCGACCGTAAGTGACCATAAGATATTGTAAGACACCATAAGATGCCACAATTGACCCGGAGGCCACCGTCAGCTTCGTCGTGGCGTCCATGGCGGCAACAGCTGCCGTCAGAGCAAGCAGCAAGCTTCACACAGTGACTTGCTTGAGCCTGGAAGAGTCAATCCCAACAGTAGTGCCTATCTAGTCCCTTCATGTTAGTCCTTGTACTCCTTCAGCACCTCCCTCTAATTCTGTAGTCCTCACCTTGTGTAGTCCTCATATTTCTTAAGCGCCTCTAAGGTTATGATCCGCATCGCCACCCAGTGGCTGGCTGTCTGCTCGGTGCTGGCAACCTTCGACCTGACCCAGATACTGGGTTCAGAGTTTAGAGTCTGAGACTTAAGGTTGAGGGTTGAGGGGTTTGCGGTTTAGGGTTTGAGGTTTTAAAGCAAAGGGCCGTAGGCTTTAGGGTTTGGGGGATATGTTATGCAAGCTGTGACGAACTCTCTTCGAGCAACGCAGCTCGAGCTGCCCTGAAGCGGAAAGCACATGGTTTGCGCTGATGTACTGGAGTCATATCCCCAACACGAACTCAGGATACCTATCAACGAGGACACGGAGACCTGGTCCAGAGAGGAGGATGCTCGGCTCTTCCCGTGGCCCGCACAGGTCACCGCAGCGATGCTAGGCCTCTTCGAGACCCTCACGCTGACCCCCGTCTTGACCTCCATCGACTCGGCAGCGCAGTGCCTGGCACAGGCGCGGGGTTACTCTAAGACTTAAGAGAAGCCTTTTGGCATGGGGAGAAGCCCCCAGCTGGCTGGCCTTCCGTTGGCTTGTCAGGAGTTCTCTTCCCAAAGCACGGCTCCAAGCTTGGCCGTTGGGGTGTACTATCTCATCCTGCCTTTGCTGGTGATTCTCGGCATAGTGCTGCTCTCTTTGCTGGTCGTGCACTTGCTGGTGCCTTCGGGCCAGCGCTTGGGCTTCGCTTTCAACGAAGCTGGACGCCGCCATCGCAGGAAGGCCAAGGCTATGCAAAGCCTGCGTGAGGCAATGGATCAGGTGCTGGGTGAGGCTTTTCCGAAGACGTCCGACATTCCTGCCGTTGCTCCGACATCGACCGCTCCCGCCGTCACCTTCTCTTGGGTCGACCTCGAGCGCTCGGGCGCCTTGCATTTCGACACCGTGGCTCAGGTGCAGCGGGCAGCCGAGGATCTCGACGCCTTCCTTTGCAACACGTTCGTTGGATCCCGGGAGCTCCTCCTGAGGGCTTGCGCCGCCCGAGCGGCCCAACTTCGGCCGCAGGCCGAGGCGCAAAAGGTGCACGAGGAGCTGGCGCAGGCGCACCCGCATCCGCACCCGCCATACCCGCCCAGACAGGGCTCAGAGAGAGTTATTCGATCGGTTTTCAGGATGTCCCGCTTGCACAGGCAGATCTGCGGCCTTTCCTGACGACTGATTTTGCCACGCAGTTCGAGAATTTCACCAGCATGCTGGACATGGTCTTGGATGAAGTGCAGACCGGCGTCGCCTTCACCGGCGCTGAAGCTTTGGAAGACTCCGAACAGAACGACGCAAAGGAGCATCTCAAGGAGGGCTCAGAGCCTTCAGCTGGCTGCGAGGCGCCTGAAGGCGCTTTGCGGGCTGCGGACGACGCGCCCCCTCCTCAGACATGCCGCAACTGAGCAGGTCATGACCGTGCCGGCAATAATTGAATTTGCACCGTTCGTCAGCTGCAGAGAACTACAGCAACAGCAGCTTGCACTGAGGCCGCACGAGGTGCAGATTGCGGTATCGAAGCACGACTTGAGCCCCATGGTGGATACGGTGCTGCGCTGAGAACCACACTACTTGTACAGCACAGCCTTAGCTAGACCTGCTTGTGCGTGTGGGATTCGCAGGTGGTGGAGACGCTGAATTTCGGCCTGTTCTCAGCGGCACCTCGCCTCGGCGAGCTCTTGAACCAGAGTGTTCCCATCATCTGGGTGAGCCTGGTCTCTCTATGGCCTGGGCTGCTGTCCAGCTTCCTTCAGATTATCTGGTGTGTTCCAGTGCCGGAAGACGATGTCATCGTGAACCGACTGCTGCCCAACCCCTCCGTCATTTGCTGGTCCGACGAGCACTTCGTCTCTGCCCGCATCGCGATTGCCGGGCTTGTGGTTTGGTGCGTTGGCATCCCGCTGACGCTGGCCGTCCTGCTGCTGCGCATCCCAGACAGACAGGCTCCAGAGAACTTCAGGCGACCGGTGAGAGAGTCCCCCATGCCTGAAAGAGCGAGAGAGAGCGAGAGAGAGAGAGAAAGAGAGAGAGAGAGAGAGAGAGAGAGAGAGAGGGAGGGAGAGAAATGCTTAGAAGGGCAGACGGTTTGGGGTATGAGAGAGCGAGGGCTGGATGATGAAGGCCCCTCAGGGTTCTGGGCCCCTGCAAGGCGCTTCGGCTACTTCTTCCAGGGCCTGGAGCCGAAATTCTGGTGGTGGGACCTCCTCGTGAAACGTTTGGACCTCGCCTCAGAAGCTTTGAGGGTGCCGCTGTATCATCATCCGACGCGGTTCGCTGAAAGATGTAAAGTTTTGCGAGTCTAGTGACTAGTCTGTGTACTACCAATAATAAGGACGTGGCCTTGATGATGCTTCTCACCTACACTTCGGTCGTGCCGGATCCGAAGGGCAAGCTCATGCTCTTCCCCGCCCTCTCCGGCTTCCAGGCGCCATAGCCCGGCTCTGCCGAAGCGGCCGCAGCATTTTTCCAACTGAGCTCCAAAGCGCATGACGCTGAAAACCCAAATTCTAAGGCTCATGTAGTGCCTGGAGGTCTCCTGCTCTGTCGAAGCTTCCTCGAATTCGGCGAACGATTGGCCGACAGTTTGCACAACCAACACACGCGGCTCCTCATCCAACCGCATACCCTACCCCCCCACCCCATCTCGATTTTCGAAGCGCGATGCGTCGCCGTAGTCCTGAAAGCTAAGTAATTAAGCTCCAAGTCTGGACCCGTGGAGGCGCTTGTGGCGGCCTGGGTCAAGCCCTACGCGAACGACCAAGCCGAAATCCTTGATGTTGTGGAGGCCATGTTGGATGTTTATTGCTACTTACACTGAATGAGGAGTTTCAATCAAGATCCTGATCGAAGACTATCCCAACCATGAGCAAATAATGTTGCGGAGCCCATCGGTCCATGTTGAACTCCCTGTGCTGAGTCGCTACTTGGCCGCAGGTGACGCTGTCCACGATTCGTTTCCTGCTCTTCTTTGCCGTGGCGTCACTTCTCATTCTGAAGCCACCGGCAGCAACTACACATGCGCCACTCTGCTTATAAGCCTTGCAAAGGTCGCCTGTGCTACAGCCTGCGAGAGCAACCAGCCTTGATTCCCATTAAACCTGAAACTTAAACCCACAACACTCCATACGAGCCCTCAGCCCTACACATTTTTGCACGCTAAACCCCACAGGGTCGCCTACTCACTCCTTGTGGTCATTGTGCTGGCGTGCCTCTTCCTGTTCGCCCACTTCACTGCTCAGGACCGCGGTTTCGGCTCGGGTTCAGAAAGTAGGTTCTACAATGTTCTAGAATGCAGAATGAAGCAGGTTATGGGGAATTGTGGAGACCGAGATGGACCCAAAAGCTTATGTCCTTCACCCCTGGAAGGAATAGCTCTACGAAGAAGCTGAAGCCGAACCAGAAGCCCCAAACCCTGAAACCCTTATCGAACCCGTATGTATGGACCCTTGAGAAACCCTATGCAACACTTTGGCAGGTTCTCCGACAAGCACAGATCGGGCCCACCCCCTCCAAAACGAGCTCGTCATTGCTGAGATCCCTAGGCCATGGGATGACGGCTTAAGGCTTAAGGTTGAGGATTCAGGGTGTGGGGCTTTCGGGTTTGGTTTTCAGCTTGGGGTTTAGGATTCAGGAGTTGCGCCTGCTGCAGCGCTTGTGGGTGAGCGCTCTCACTGCCCTGGCCCGGAGGTGCTGTCAAGGGCTTCGTCATCGAATGGGCCGTGCCTTTGTTCACGGAGGCGCGGCGAACATCAGGGGAAGACGAGCCCAAAGGCAGCTCCAATGACCCGCTAAGGTTTAATTACAATTCTCAGGGCTGTGGATGAGTCCAGGTCCCCCAATCAATTCCTACTGCAGTCGGGCCCAGCTCGTGATTCGCTGAGGTTTTCAGTCATGAGAAAGATCAAGATAGTGACTACTGGACCTCTTGAAGTGCACCAGACTCGTGAACATGGGTGGTACTCTATGATAATCAGCGGTTTGTGAAACTTGGGCTGTACTCCCAGACGATGAGATGTAAATACGCCGCACCGAAACACACGAATCGAGTCGGTGTAAGTATGTATCTGTTCATGCATACATGCATTGCATGCAAGCATGTATGGACGAGCGTTTACGGATAAGTAGGTAGCATGTATGTATGCCGTATGTATGTATCTATGTATGCAGGCATGCAGGCATGTATGTAGATATGTATCTATGCGCATATGCATGCATGTATGTAAGCATGCAGGGAATCATCATGGCATGCAATCGTCCGAGGTCAACAGCCCCATGCAGTATGCATGGATCTTATTGACGCCAACCTCCTCATAGCCCCAAAATGCGCATAACGAAAGCCAGCCCTAAGCCCTAAACCCTGAAACCTAAACCCTAAACCCTAAGCCCCAGGCTGAATCGGATTCGCTGGAGCTGATCTGGTCTTTCTCCTCCGAAGCGATCACGGTGACGACCCCTGCCGAGGATCCGAGGCACAGTCCCTGCCTTTTGCAACTGTGAAGTGCAGAGTCTGCCTTGGGCAAGAGGGTCGGTGGACAGTGTTCATGATGAGGTGAAGCTTTGTATTATAACCTATATACTATGTATGTATGCATATTGCATGGCTCTATACTCTATATGCCATATTGTACATTACATACTATGTATTGTATATCTTGTATTCCACGTTATGATAGTATAAGGTATAAGTTATAAACTATGTACTGCATGCCACCTTGGTCCTGCACTGTGGAAGTCTGATTTGGGCCAGGAAGCGACTGACCTCCTTCCAGACTGCAGTGAGGCAAACTCGCTGCTTGGACGAAGTGAGAGCTGATAGGTAACATAGCATAGTATAATATGATGTAATGCAAAATAACGTAAACATGCTACAAGTTACTCTTACCCACAAGAGCTATATGTAGCAGTACCAAGCATAACATACTGCTGTATGTGTGTATGTAGGTAGGTAGCTAGGTAGGTCCGTGGTTGGGCAGGTAGGCATGTATGCATGTATGTACGTATGTATGTATACACGTATATATGTGCATGTACATAAAGATATGTAAAATGCTGTACAATATAGTATGTACTATGACTTACAACATAGTACATGTACATACAACATATTGAATATAGTACAAGAAATAACAAGTAAGTAAATAACAACCGCAAAATTAAGTAAACAAACCAATAAATAGATATCAGTATATGTAGGAACATACAGTAGGGTATACAGTACAGTATACGCTATGGTCTGCAATATTGGGTTTTCAAAAGACAGGACCCGAGGAGCAACAATAGCATGGGTGCATGCTTGCGGCAAGCGCCCACACACACACTTCAAGATACATGGCGGATACAAATGAGTTATTGATATGTACCCACCCATCTCCACATTACTTGATGTTCGAGTGAGTCGAATTATTCGCAATCTGTATACCTGAAGCTATGGTATGCACCACTGTCTGAATTGTAGTATATTGGCCAACTCGGTTTACGCCCAAGTACGCCTTTGTTCATGTCTGTCTGTATGTCTGTCTGTCTGTCTGTCTGTCTGTCTGTCTGTCTGTCTGTCATGCCTGCATGTATGTATGTTTGTTTGTTTGCACATGTGCATAATCTGCCTTGCCTTGTCAAAAACCATAAAGCACAGATGAATACGCATAAAGGCATCTGCATGGACATGCCATGCCTGCATACAATGCCCAAAGGTGCCCGGACGTTGCGAACGCTTCATCAGCTGAGCAAGTCCGTGTTGCGCCACGGCCCCCACTTCCAGCAGGCGGTCCTGGTGAAGGCGCCCTTGAGCCTGCAAGTGCATCAACTGTGGCCACGCGATACATGGGAGTTTCCGAAAATAGGGGGACCCTAATACGGGGGGTCCTTCTTGTAAGGATCCTACTATTTAAGGTACCCCCCACATGTACATATAAGATATACACCTACTAAACCATAATCCAGCACCAGCGCATCCAGCTCCAATCATCAAGGTCCCACCCAGGGGCCTCTCAGACAGTTTGCCCGAGTGTGCGTTCGAGGCTTGCAGAGCCATCGAGGCCAAACTCGTAATGCAGGACCCTGATTGAGAAACCATGGCCCTATAGCCCAAAAATATTAGGATTCATATAAAGAGCCCTAGTAAAGACCCGGTTTTGTTAAAATCCGGTTCCTAGAATAAAACGAACGGTTGGACCGTCGGACTTGGGCTGTCAAGCTCGAACCTGCAACGCCAAAAATTCCGGGACACAAAGCTGGCACGAAGCCGCAAGCTTTGCAGCATCTGCAGGTTTCTCATCCGGATCATGCCTGGGGTAGCGATGATAGGTATGGAAGTGGGCGTGGCAATGTCTGCACCTTCGGGTTCAGGGCGGGCTGACGTAGGTTGGAAGCGTCTAAGCCGAAGCTTCATCAATTTTTGGGTGGCCTTCCAGGCCGTTACTGGTGTCAGCTAGGATTCCGATGAATTCCGGCTCTCCTGCAGCAATTTCGTCTCACAAGAAACTGATCAAGCCAGGAAATACCCTAAATCAACGGTCAAGAAATCTCCATGTCCGGCCGGCCAAAAGCATTTCTCCGTTTCAACAGCACAGTTGCCGTTTGAAACCTAGAAACAGGTGTAAGGTCTGAGATGCCAGAAGCGCCAAGGGTTCCGGTAATTTGATGATGCTGCTGCTGATGATGATGATGATGATTGCAAGTGATTAATACATGGACCTGATACGAAGTGTTGATTTTGCCTGATGCTGCGAAGGCCAACGAGGAGCTCACCACTTTGTGGCTGCAGCTCGGGCAGAAGAAGCTGCCTTCATACCGACACGCCTGCGCCCTTGCGACAGCTCACAAATCGCTGCCGCATTCGCTCTTGACGAGCGGACTGAGTGGTTCATGGATGGAGCAGCTCGAAGCACTTGCCTGTCAAGATGGGCCCCTCACATGCAGGCCCAGTGATATTGAACAGGCAGTGCAACTCCTGGGCAAGATGTCCTCGGATGACGCAGTGCTCTTGGTTCAGTATGTGATGACCCTCTGCGACGAACACATGCGGCCGGAGGAGTATGTCGAGTTGTGAGATCCGATTTGTATGCCGTGCTTCAACTTCCAACTCTCTGCTGCAAAGCAAGCAGATCGATTTCGAATATCCGACGCAATCCTGGGGAAAGTGTCGAAGCTGTCGCTAGACCCGGGGGTTTGCTTATGATTCCGGCTTCTCATCTAGGGGTCCTCATAACCGGAGCTTGTTACTTGGGTCTCGTTAGTTCTACAGCCCCCACATCTCTTGCAGTCTGAAACATCATCGGTTGCCATCATGCAGCAGCTTGCTTACCTTTCTCCGGTTCGGGCTTGGCCATGTCATTGCGTCGGTCGCTGATGCAACTCCATCGTGTTGATCTTGTGACACTATTTAGGGTACTATGTTGGGGTCCCCTATTTTCGGAAACTCCCAGATCTTGCACGGAGCACTCGCTTCCTTACCAGAAAGGAGTCCTGGCATCATCAAATCATTGGGTGTGCACGAAAAGTGCCCTCGAACCCCGTTTCAGCCAAGCTGCGGCCGAAACGTTGCTAACGCTCTTAGGATTCGAGGAGGCAGCTTCTACCCGAAATAGCCCTAAACCCTGAGCCCTAGGCCCGAAACCTTAAACCCCGCCTAAGCCTTAAATCCAAAACCTAGCTCCAGGTAGCATCGGGTGGAACTGCTTTTGCTCGGACGTCTAGTGCTTGCAAAAGGCTGGCAGCCTTAAGTGCTACCGACCGGGCAAGTCTCCGCTCCCATAGAAAGAAACAGACGGGGGTTTTTATTCCAAGTGCCTCAAGGGACACGGTTTTTTCCCTCGTCTC